AAAAATACGGATAGCCTGGTGCTGTAGGTTGTACAAGCACTTGGGCATCTTCCCGTAAATGTTTATAATTCTTTATTCTATCTTCTTGAATGCAACAGCTTAACTGTAGTGCTGTGTTGAGCCTTTCAAATAACTGAACTTGCTGTCCTGTGTTGAGTAAGTTTTTGGTTTTTTTTTTTTTTAATCCGTAATAGAGATGCATCGCTGATGGCTATGAGAAGGCGTATCGAAGGCTTGACACCAGAAGAAATAAGAAATCTTTCCCGAGATGAAATGCACATGCCAACAACTATGGAAGACTTTGAAATAGCTTTGAAGAAAGTTTCTAAATCCGTATCTGCTGCGGACATTGAGAAATACGAGAAATGGATAGTTGAATTTGGATCATGCTGAGTTGTCTTATCTCAAAGACGCCACCTTACGTCTTAAACCAGCTTTAGAAGTAATAAATAGTGTGTCAGTGCACTGCGTGCTCTTTTTAACTTTTGTAATTTAAGAGCAACAGATGTCTAAATAAATTTTTTTTCTAAAATGCAAATTCTGTCTAGCTCTCTTTGAACTAGCTCAGAAGTTACCTGTTTTTCTCCAGTGTGAAAGATACTGATGGGATCTGCTTTGATCTTCAAGATTTTGAAATTATTTAGATTTAATACTCAAATACTCTTGCATCAGAGGGTTTTCTCCTGAAAAATAACCCTAACACCAAAAAAACCCAAACTAGCCCTGCTACGTGAGTAGGGGATGCCAAGAACTAGAAAATGGGATGAAGAAGATGCAGTTATAGGGATGGGTTTTGCTAGCTGATCTGAGAGCGTTCTACCCTTAAGCTGTTTCTAAGGTATTAATAAAGAACCTGTACAAGAGTTGAGATTTAGAACGGCAACCCTTGCGCTACGGACAGTCAATAGATGGAGCTGCAGTTTAGGCGGGGGTAGGATCGTCGCTGGTTTACGGTATCCATTAAGAAATATTAAAATACGCTCAGCCAGTGCAAACTAACTCTGTGTGGGCAGCAGTGATGCAGGGTCACGTGCATAGGCTCCTTCTAAGTCTGAGAGGAAACAAAAGCTTCCTGGCATTCTGGAACACGTTTTTCTTCTTGGACTGTGTGGTGCTGTAAGCTTCAAAACTCTGGACTGGTAGTTTGAGTCCTGGTTTACACTGAACATTTATTCTGGTAAGGCTGTTCTGAGAGAGCGCGTGTTATGTTTGTGCTCAGCTGGTTTCTGTTCCTTACCCTGACCTTACAACTGATGTGAAATCTATATTCTCTTCCTGCATTACTTGACAAGCAGAATGGAGAAGCAGTTCTCCGAGAATGGAGACCGTTTAGGTCATAACTTTAGACTTTGTTCAACAGTGGTCACTGTAACTGAAACATCTATCATCTCTGTCTGTCTCCCGTTATTTTGGAAACACTTCTTCCTGCTGGCTCATCTCAGAGCAGCCAGCTGTAGTTCTGCTTACAGCTAGACTTCATGCTGCTTCAGGAATCAAAAGCGCCGAGACTTGTTTCAGCTGGCAGGTACATGCTGTACGAAACTGGCCGTGGAATCGCTGCTCACGCGTCTTTTCGGATGCTGTAAGGCAGAGGCGAAGGACAAATGGTAACGAAACCTGGTGGCCTGAGTGGAAGGCAAATGAGTTGTGTCAATGCCGTTATCATGAGCGTCTTGTTAATGTACTTAAAATTCACCACTGTGTCATGAGTGACAGCTGGACATGCTGGGAAGGGACTTTCAGCCGTGCTGGTGATGGGACGCTCCAGCAGAACTCCAGATACTGCCGAGAGCTCCTGAATCCCTGGGTGGACCTGGCACGACGAACCCAGAAACTAAGGGAAGACGTTCAGGTGGGTATACAAGTGTGTGCATTTGTAGACTTTCACCTCCAAAATGGAAAACTAATTTACCTCTTTCCTTTCAAAAGGCTGGCCATGCATGTCAGGGTTAACAAAAAGATGCAGCGTTTTGAAGAAGTGGGTTCTCTTAATACTGGTTTTTCTGTTTGTCTGTTAGGATGAGCACGTAGCTGTCAGTTGTGTTGCAGGAGGAGATTTCTTCTCATAAATTAATTCACTGCAAGCAAAGCAAAATACTCAGTTGCCTGAGTGAGACAGGAAAGTAGACAAGCTCTAGTCCTTGGAAGCGGCCCAGTGAAAGGGGCCACTTAAACTGAAAGTGTGACAGACTTTGAGAGCTTCTAAATTAAACCTTGTTTTAAAAGCAGTAGTTCGGTTCTACAGCTCAGCCAGCCCTGTTCACTCCAAATGAACAAAACACCTGTGCAATACATGGTGGATTAAGGGGACAAAGTGAGGTTCACCTTCTTTTGAAAA